CTCCTCGCAAATTTCATTGTAGTATTTTGCTTTGTCATTCCGAGCAGCCTTTTGGAATCTTCTGTTCAGCTCTTTAGTTTCTTGAATTCTTCCTTGTGCTTTGGCTTCTGTACGCTCCAGTGCAATCTTCAGAGTTTCTTCTGACATCCATTTTGGTCTTAGGAGAAGCTAGTCTTTAAAAAAAGGACATCATACTTGGAAACGTGGGGAAAGGTGAAAAAGAGGAAGACTCTCAACCAGATGGATTGACACCATGACTGCAGGAATGGACCAAGTACGTCAGAGATGGTGACGATGGCAGGGCTCATATTGTTGTTGTTCATAGGGTCACTGTAACCATACTTGACTTGATGGCATCTAACAACAACATCCAAGGCCCAGTAGAGGATCAGCTTTGAGTCTGCACTGACTCCATGGCAATGAGTGTTTTTCAGGGAATCTCAGCCATCTATTATAATAAACCATCCATTATAATGCTTCACATCAACCTCTCACATAACACTTCAGAAGTCATTGATGTCTAGATCTGTTGTTGCATTAAAGTTTGTAGAATTGTATCACACTGTACCCTAACTACTTTCCTATAGTTTCTCTATAAGAGTAATGATTTCTGAAGGGTAGAAACTTGGTTTTGTTCTTTATATACACTGTTTTTAATCTGTTAAATAAAGGACAGATAACCTATAAAAAAAACCCAAAACTGCCTAACGAGGCATTTTGAGACTGAACAAGTTTACTTGTTATCTCATGAAATTCCTGTTGCCAATTTAATACTGAATTATGTTTTCCAATATTTAATGGAAAAAAGAGTTTGAGAATTGTATTTCTCTTTTTCCTATTTCCATATTTTATATAACTTGATAGAATGAAAAGATCCTGCATCATTCTGTTAAGACTGGCAGCTGATATATATTCATTGGAAAAATATTCATATCATCTTTAATAAATTGAAATGAATCAAGATAGAATTAAGCATTCTGCTAGTATTGCATTGATTGATCTAAATTTTTAGCCAATGGAATTTGAGGGAAAATATGGTAAATTTAAAGATGAGTGGGCAAAGTTTGGTTTGAACTCCCTGGTGTGCTCTTAAACTGTTCCACTAAGTCATAAAATTTATTTACTTAGGCAAGATTTGGTGAACTGTTAAAGTCACTAGCCTTATTAAGTAAATTAATTTGTTGGCTACTACAACACATAATTTTGTAATTAGCACTAAGCGTATACCTGATTTGCTACTTTTTCCCTAGTGATTAAGTCAACAGTTTATTTTATGAAGTTATAAAAATAACAGAGAAAAAAGACTGCAATATTTGCTTCATCAGTGGGGGTAACTGCAATTATTTTAACTGAAAAAAGAGAATATGGGAATACAAGGTTTTTCAGTCAGTACAGAAGCTTGGGAAGTTCTGTGTTAAAATATGACTGACAGGATTAACATTTTGAAAAAGTTTTATACACAGATATTTGTACTATTTAATTTGGAGCCATAGTAAGAAGACTCAGATCCTAACTGGCTTATTTTTATATTTCCGTAACTTTTAGAAACATTTTTATTTAAAACATAATTTTTTTTAATAGTAAAAAATTCTTGCTGTGATATTCTGCGGCCTTTAAAATGACTGTGTTGCTTTTAGGATGGATCAAAAGAAACACTCCAAAAACTGAGATGAAACCTTGGGATAGCAAAGATGAAGAAATGTAGCTAACACGCTGCCGCAAATGACGGCAAATGTGTTTCTAAGCACGGTCATCAATTTAAAAAGCGTGCGGCAACGTGTTAATGAAGAAAAAAAATGCTACAGCTTACTCAATTTTCTAAATGGAAAAAGCATTTGGCTGCATTCACAGAGACATTTGTATTTTGTTTTCAAATATAAGCTTGCTTCTTTGACAGTATTAATAAATGATGCAGAGTTCCTCCTCCTCTTTTATCTAAATACAGTAGTTTCGTTCCTGTAAGTAGTATGTCATGGGTATTGGTGCTGTGTAACAAACAATAAATTGTAATTAACATGTGGTTCACATTAGTTTTTTTTTTGTTTTTTAAATATATCTTAATGGCTCTTTTCTATTTATAATTTCTTATCTTTCACAAAGTAGATCAGGAATTTCATACATTCATTTTCATGGAAAATCTTTTTGTCATTAGAAAAGAGCATTTACACTTGTAAATGAAAATTTCTGATCCTATAGAACACTGACACTTCAATTTACAATAACCTTCTTTTGACTAGGTATATTTAAATCCTTCTGCAGTGGTATTGATTCAGAAGAGAAACTCAATTAAATAAAGAGTACTATCTATTCATGGTGGTCAATTAAATTATTTGTCTAACTTAAGAGTACTAACTACTGTGCATCACTCAGTTTGACATGAGATGACAGAAGTCTGAGTGAACTATTCATGAGTGACCGGTTCATTTTCAGTGCTGGCAGTAACTTTCAAAATATAATTGATTTGGGGGAAGACACCATATAATTTTATGTTAAACTGCATGCTGTAAATGTGTTTTGTAGGGGAAAAACCAACAACCCATATTGCCAACATCTATACACTTCAATTCTTCAGATGCCATCACCCCTTAATTCTATGACACCACTGACTGAAAGACGTATCACCAACCTAGTTACTACTTTGAGGTGGAGAGAAAAAATGGCAAGCACAAGAGACATCAGCACAGAACTCCAAGATTGAGTATGCACATTAATTTAAAGACTCTGTAATTTCAAAGGCATTAAATATATCCTAATATATATATATATATTAGGATACATGAAGAATAAATAGCCATGCTATATATGAAACAGTTCTTTCACATCAAAGCCCTTGTGATCTGAAAATTCGCAATGATCTTCAAAGTTAATATTGTGACTAAATATCTATTCCTTCCACTCTGCCTACACTTTATATAAATCTTATTGCATATAGTAGGTCTGATGTTAATTTTAAAAGTCATTTTTTGCTTATTACACAGTTCTGTAAGTAAACTCAACATGTACTAAAGTTAAAATGTACACACAATGTGAAAAATTACATAAATGCCCTCCTTCCAAAGTAAGAAAGAAAAAAACTGCAGGAAACTTAGAAAAGGATATCTGATACAACAACTGGCTTCTTTTTGTCAGGACTGAAAGGATCCTTCCTCTTTTTTCTTGACTGAAGTTCATCATTCCATAGCTCTGGCAAGTAAATGAAACATTAAGTATTAGCTGATTTCTAGAGATGAAAGGGACAAAAAAAAGAACTAAATAATTTCATGGTTACTATTTATTTTTGCATAAAACTTCATTACTTGCTATGTCTATTATGCATAAGATCATATATCATTTTATGGGGAGTTATATGCATATGAATTTTCCTCTCTCTTTGATAAAGCAAACATCACCTTGCTCTTCAGTCAGCATAATGACTAACACCTGATGGATATATGTCATGCTTTGGCAAGAATAGACTACGTGCAGCTGTTTCACCTAATCCTCAAAGCTACCTATGAGGTCAGCATTCTCATTACTTGCACTTTATAGATGAGCAAACCAACTAGTAAGTAATGGCACACTAGTGTCAGAGTTGAACTTATCTGACTCCACTATACCTACTCTACACCAGAGACAAAATTTAGGACAGATAAAGTAAGACCTATTCAGACTATAGGATACCCTAGTAAACCTTTCCATAAATACAGGAAACTTTCTCACACAATCCCTGAAAATGTAATTATCACATTAGGCTGATCTAACTATTAAAAGTGTTTATTTTCCTTTTTGTGAGATAAAAAAAAATCTACCTTCTTCTGATAGATGTGTACACCTACGTTAATAGCAGTATTATCCACAATAAGGAGAAAATGGAAATAACAGTCCAAATGCTCATCAACAAACAAAAGGATTGAGAAATTGTGGTACATTCACATGATGGAATGCTATGCAGCACTAAAGAACAATGGTTTCATAAAATACAAACATGGAAGAGTCTAGAGAGCATTATGCTAAGTGAACTAACTCAGACTCAAAAGGACAAACACTGCATAAGGACATTATTGTAAAAACAGAAGGACAACTAGTAAGATGTGTATACATCCAGAAGGCAAAAGGGAGAGGGAGAAGGTGGTAGAAAAGGGGGAAGGGTAGAAATTACTAGGATATCAAAGTTTTGTGAGTGGATGGTGGATGCTTGTGAATGGTCGGAAAAGATTCAATGGGGACTTAAAAGATGAAGTATACAATCCCTTGTAATCCCAGAGGTGTGCGGTTCAAATCCACCAGATGCTCTGTTGAAGAAGGAGGGACAATCTCCTCCTGTACCAGTCAGATCGGATTTGATGGTACACACATAAAAAATAATAATAATAAGGGGAGCTCTGGTGGCCTAGTGGCAAGGAGCTGCAACTACAATCCCAGATTGCGGTTCAAATCCATCAGATGCTCTGTTGAAGAAGGAGGGACAATCTCCTCCTGTACCAGTCAGATCTGATTTGACAGTACACACACACACACACACACACACACACATAATAATAATAATAAAAGAAATGTTTTTTAAAAAAGATGCGGTAATAACAGGCATTGATCAATGGTGATTGATTATATAAAATACAATGTATACAAATGCTTGTATGAAACACAAAGATTATATAAAACACAATGTAAATTAATTATATGCAAACTAATTTTTTAAAAAAAATCTGCCTCTTAGTAACTTCTATTAGTTTTTCCTAGCTTGTCTGGAGCCAAACAGAAAAGCATTTCATTTCTTCTACCACATGATAGTCTTTCAAGACTTAGTGAGAAGAGACATAGCTCTCTCCTTTTATATATATTTTTTAATTTTTTTTTTATTTTAATGAACGTTTACAGAGACTTCGGATTTCCATTCATTCACTGTTGCACACTTTCCTCCCTGCCTCACCCCTCCCCCCAGTTTGCTTTTCTCTTTGAAAAGTAAAAAAAAAAAAAATTCCTCTCCCCCAGTCCACCCCACTATGCAACTTTCATTCTGGACTCTTGTCATGACAATAATACCTAATCATATATTCCTCCTAAACAGTTCTTTCCCTCATCTGTTTCAACGCAGTATACATTATTTATCCCCTCTTAGTTTCCCCCGAGTCCCAATGTCAGACCCACTTTACAATAGTCGCAATATGCAAAATTTGTCCTTTTGTGACTTATCGCAGGTTCCTGTCCCTCTTTTTTGTCCCTTTTTATGGACTCTATTTTCTAGTATCTTTTTAAAATGTGAGTTCAAATTAAACCAATAATCACAACCATATCAAATTATTTAGCGGTTTTTCTTTTCCCTCAACTCATTAGCATACTTCACTTGCATACCATAATTAATGTTAGATGACTGAAGTATTAAAAGAAATTATATGAAATCAAAGGAGCTCTGGTGGTGGTGTGTGTTGTCACAGTTATGCTGCTAACTCAAAGTTCAATGGTTTAAATCTACCAGCTGCTCCAAGGGAGAAAGACAGTCTCACACTGTGTAGATTTATAGCCTTGAAAATCCTACGGAGCACCGCTGTGAGCTGGAACTAATTCAGCAGCAGTGAATACAGTAAAATCAAAGGTCCAGAGTCATTCAAATTCAATATCACAGTCACATCATCCCCTCACCTGAGGTAATATCAATGCTGTGCCTGTCCTCTTCAAGCCTTCTTATCTTCTCCTCTAATTCACTCTGGACCGTATCATATAACAAAAGCTTTTCACTCTGAAAAAGAAAAAATTGTATGCATAAGAGAAAAAAATAATAGTCTCTTAGCTAACAGTACTAAATACTTAAAGTAATATATGATCCTTCTTTTTTGCTGTTTTTAGTTCAATTTGAAAATTTTCAAGAAATTTCAAATATATAAGATATGAACTAAAAAATACAAAACAGATTCTAAATATAGACTTAACTATATGCAATTATGCTTAATGATACTTAAATTTATACAGAATAAATAAGGAAGTAAATCTTTATAAAAAAAATGCATAGCAAGCTCTTGTGTCCTTTTGTAAACATATAAGCAGGTCTCAGCTGCTTCCCTAATGGAGAACTCATACTATAAAGTATATCATTGTAAAATGGATATTTTCTCAAATAAAAAAAAATTGGATCTTTACACCTCACAAATAATATCAGCCTATAGCCATACAGAAAAATTCTTCAAGTTCAAATTTTACATTAAACGAAAATAATTCAATTACAGTTAAAATTAGACTCTTGTTATAAACTGTCTAATCAGAATCGACCCATAGCTGACTCTCCAGGGGGTTTTCTGAGGTACTAAATTGCATAGCAGGAGAACAGTCATCCATCTCAAATGGAACAGCTGGTGTGTTTGAACTGCAAGCCTTCAGGCTGACAGCACAGGAGGAAACTACCCATCCTTCTCCTGAAGAGCAGCTGGTATATTTGAACTGTGTGCATTTGGGATTGCAGCATCATTTCTTACTACTTAGCCACCAGAGCTCCCAGAGAGTCCTTAAATAAAAATCTCTCTCTCACAGCTGTTGAGTCAGTTCCATTTCATAGGTGACCTCCATCAGGTTTCTAAGGCTGTAAATTGCAGGAAAGAAGACTATCCATCTTTCACTTTTTTAAATGACTAGCAGATTTGAACCACAGAGAAGTGCAGCATTTGAGTTAGCAGCACAGCAAACACTAAATAGTAAATGTATACTTCTCTCCTTCTCATCTAAAAAGGGATTCCTTTTTTGATCTTCCTTTAGAACACAAATTAAGAAAAAATATACTTGCTAGATTAATGGCCATATATTGTCAGAGGCTTTGGTGATGAGAATAAACAAACACTAACAAGCAATAAACAAAGCTCTATTAATTCAAGATTATACACTTAAACACAGTATAATATTTGGTTCCATGTATTTATAGCTACAATAAAAACTTTGGCATTACAAAATTAGAATAGGATTTAAAAAAAATTAGAATAGGATGAGGAGTGCCATTACAAAACCCTCAATTTGTCTTGAACTCCTATTACTTGGAAATAGAAAGGCAATTCCAAAATTATCTGATAAAAGAGTTAAAATTCTGCCCTAAGATGTAGGATGTAGAGGTGTGGCTGAAAACTATTATTATTCACTATCAATCTAGGATCTTTAGAGTATAGATATATATTACTTGGTAAATTATTTTAAAAAGACCATTTATAGCAATAGCAAAGTGCTCATGAAATGTTGCTTTTAAAAAGTTAAGATACAAAATAATATGTACAGGATGATATCAGTTGTATAAAAATAATTACATAAACATAAACATATTTATTAACAATAGTGACCTCTAGTTGGTAGATTATGGTTGACTTAATTGCCTTCTTCAGACTTTTATTTCTCAAATTTTCTCAGTATTTTTTTCAAATGAATTTTTACAAGTTCATTAAATGAACCATCAACTATTAAGAGTCTTAAACAGCGTGAACCAACCTTCTCAAGAACAGGAATCCTAACCTTGAGTCTCTCACTAAGGCTTTGCTACCATTTCTCAACTCTTCCAATTGCCCTGTGGTAAGCCTTAAATGAAATAACCAAAGTAAAGCATCTCCACTTGCCTTAGAATCTGCTTATCAGAGAACAGTATTCTATACACGTGATACATGTATGTGATTCAACTGATACAAAACCTCTACGGCCTCAGCTGCCTCTGTGGGTTTGGCATAACATATGCGTACTCATATGAACATGTCTTGTTTGGTCCTGTGTCCTTTTCTCTGTTGCTTACCTAAACTTTATCTTCATACTGGTACAGTGAAGTACTTCTTTCCATTTCCATTACCTCTCCAATTTCTATATAAATCTAATGTGGAAATAAGGATGTTATATAAAGCCCTAAATAGCACATTTTTATGGATAGAGGGATGGGTAAAGGAAATGGGAAAGATGTGCTGTGAAAAACAATGTACATGAACTTTGTAAGCAAACCAGTATAAAATAAAAATGTAGCTAAATAATTAAGCTCATATTTAGTGGTAAGTCGCATGTGTGAACAGAACAATTAAAGGGTTTTTTTATCCTGCTTCTGGGACTCATTAGTTGTGTGACCCTCAGTGAATTACTTAACCTCTCTGAATCTCAGTTACACCTCATTTTAAATTCAAGAGAACACTTATTCTAAAAGGTCATTATAAGGATTAAAATGAGAAAACATAAAATACATATAAAACTTTAGCACTTTTGTGACTCATGGGATACACTATTATTTTTTATGAACCCATTTATTTATTTATTTTTATCAAAACATTTTCCCTTTACCAGGTTTCTTAGGAAGCTATTAACCTACTGGTAATAGTTGTTACTACTGTGTGAATCTAAGGATAGGGACTTATCCCACCAATTCTACTCCTAGAGTCCATTTAAAATGTATGTGTCACAAAATCCATTATGTAAATTTTTTTCTTTAATTTCAGCATGCCTCTCATCACTGAAAACAGTGGTAGCAACAACAACTTCAAAGTAGAAATTAATTCAGTCAAGGAAAAGGTTAAATATAGGTTTTCTTTCACCTTTTCTCTATTGTCTTTGCCTCGAGTGCCCTTTAAATACCTATAATCATGAATATCTTTAATCATATAGCTAACCATATTTTATGATTAATTATATGTTAAAATTTTTAAAAACATCACACTACAATTAAACTAGAAGAAATTCACATAAACATTAAGAATCTCATAGACTAGGACTTTCAAAATGATGGAAGAAAAAGAAAGTAGATATAACTTTTTCTAAGGAAAAAATAGAAGATAATATATTGTCTTTCATTTATGTCTAAATAAACTAGGTAGCTTAAGAAAGAAACTGTATAAACAAGAAGTCTCCCAATCTACTTAGAAACATATTCCAGATAAAATATCACAGATTTTTTATAAAAAGTATAGCTAAACTTTTAAAATCAGAATATCCCCAAAGACGACAGATTTTGGTTGAAAGTAGAGAATTTCAGAAAAATGTTTCCTTGTGTTTTATTAAATATGTCAGAGCATATGACTGTGTGGATCTTAACAAATTATGAATAGCATTGGAAAAAAATGGAATTCCAGAATATTCACTGTAATCATGTAAGACTGACATACAGACCAAAAGAACTAATGATTGAAGAGAACTAATGGATACCATGCAGTTTTAAATCAGGAAAGAAGTGTGCCAGTGTTGTATCTTTTAATTTTATTTATTCACTCTGAATGCAGAACACAAAAGCTAAGTTTAACTATAAGAAGAAAATGGCATCATTAACAAACTACAATATGAGATATCACAACACTGAGTGCAGAAGCAAAGAAGATTTGAAGCACTTAAATGATAAAAATTCAAAGAACAGTCTTCAGTGTGGATTATACTTTCACATAAAGAAAACAAAAATTTTCACAACTGAACCAATAAGCAACATCTTGATAAATGCAGAAAATACTGAAGTTGTCAAGGATTTCATTTTACTTGGATTCACAATCATCACCCATGGAAGCAGCAGTTAATAACTCAAATATCATATTGCATTTAAGCAAATCTGTTTCAGAAAGACCTATTTTAAGCATTCAAATTGAGAAAGAGGTCACTTTGAAAATGAAATTGCTTATGGCCCAAAAAAGAATCCAAAACCCACTTTCTTCCAATGGATTCTGACAGAGACCCTCCATCAGGTTTTTGAGGCTATAAATTTTAACAAAGGGCAACTGCCCCATATTTCTACCACAGAATGGTCAGTGGGTTTAAGCTGCTTTTGGCCTTTCAGTTAGTAGCAAACACCCTACTACATCCACCAGGGCTCCTGTGCATAACCTTAATATTTTCAGTCACCTCATAAACATGCTAAAGATGGACAAGGAATACAAAAGACCAAAGAACTGATGCCTTTGAATTATGGCATTGGTGAAGAATATGGAATATGCTATAGACTGCCAGAAGAACAAATAAATCTATCTTAGAAGTAGCACAGCCAGAACGTTCCTTAGTAGTACTTCATCCCATGTGAGATGTTAAGAGTTTATTCCAAGACCTTTGGACATGTTGTCAGGAGGGATCAGACCCTGGAGAAGACATTGTTTGGTAAAGTAAAAAAGAATATCTTCCACAAGCTGGATTGAGACACCCATTTTGTATCAATCCATCTTTGAGTGGCTCCAACAATAGGCTTAAACATAGCAACTATTTTATGACAGAAGAACAAGCAGTGTTTTGCTCTGTTGCAGCCAAAGTCAGAATCAACTCAACAGGGCCTAAAAATATTATCTTAGAGTACCTACATAGCTCAAACTGCTTAAGTACTAGGCTGATAATCTAAAGGTTGGTGGTTAGAACTCACCCAGAAGTAGCTCTGGAGACAGATCTGGCAATCAGCTTCTTAAAGTGGCAACCTAGAAAGCCCAGTGGAGTAGTTCTGCCCTGCACACATGGATTGGCCATGGGCTGCAACCGACTCAATAGCAACTAATGAAAATGTCGTATTTTTAATTGGGCTAAATATATATTATTAAAGTTAATTTTACCCATTTAAAAATAATTATAAACCTGCCCTGTTCCAATAATATATTTAGGATCACGCTGTAATATTAGGACAGTCTTACTGTTATTATTGAAATAAAAAGAACTTACAGAAAAGAACAGCTATTTTTCTTACATTTGGGAGTCTTGCCTTAAGATGTAAAAACTGGCATAAGAGTCAGAAATTAATTGTACTACTGCATATACATTTTCTAAATCTTAACTTCTGTATGTCAGATATATTACCACTACAAGGTTGGGTTTTTTTTTAAAGTAATAGCTGCAAAAATTTGAAAATTCTATCACTTAGCACTTTTCCCCTCTATTTGTGTCCTTTTTTCCAATAGTTTCCATTGCAACTGCATTTTTTAAAAATCACAAGTGATAAATTGAAGTACTATTTACTTTTGTTTCACTTAATTTATTCACTTTTTTAACTAGTATACTCAAAAAAGGCTTGAAGAGATTAAAGTAGCTTAAAAGTTAAGCAAAATGTCAGTACCTCACAATGCTGACGAGAAGCTTGAATTTCACATTCATATTTGTTCTTTACAGATTCTAAGCAGAGCTCTCTATAGATTCCTGCAACCAAACACAATTACTCTGATTATGTTAGCAATAAGAGGATTCATTATCACTTCCCTAGAAGAATCTGTCCTCAATGTAGTTTATAAGATGAAGAAAGAGGAATTTGACAAGTGACTCTATCTTTAAACATTAAAAATAAAAAGGATCATTTAAAAAATATATATCAAAGAAGGCTTAGAAAATCAAGAAGAGCTAGGAAGGAACTAATACAGCTAATTTTCATTCTTATCTATTCTTCTAAAGAATACTCCTAAATGATCAAAATGAAAATAAACTCTTTTCCTATCTCAGGACTCTTAATGAAAACAGAGTGATAATAAATTGTGGATTTTCATCAATTACAAAGTAAAACCAGATACAACATTCCATCAAAATCACTGTTTTTAAACTATTATTTATTTTCAGAATCTAGAGCTTCCAGGAGGATTAAAAGTATAACCCCACATAGCAAAATTTATGATGTCAGAAGTGCTTCTGGCAGGGCATTATCTAAAGAATGGATAACCAAGAGAGTTTAACTTTAGGGGGGACAAGGTAATAGTATAAAATAGGTATCTTAGCCATGGAAATATGCCACCATCAAGATGACAAAGGGTTCCAGATGTGTATATTACTCTGTGCTAAATGGGCTCTAGAAATATAATTATTTCTCAGAGTTAACTAAAAGGCAAGGGACAGATTTTTACCTGGAGCTGTACTATTAACAACACACTCACACATATTACTCTATAAAGTAAAAAAGTAAAAGAAGCCATCAAGTTGAAAATGGACTAATTTATTCAGGTAATATTTCCTGAACACCTATTAAGTTTAAAAAGAAAAAGAGTCAAAGAGACAAAGAAATGTATTTACTTTGTGAGAATATTAAGCCAATGTGCAGTGATAGCAGACCAGCTATTACATTTATTTATATTACTATTAAGAACAAGGAAAAAAAAATATTAAAGTGAGCTTTGCTACTAAAATATTTTAAAAATCTAATATCAGCAATTAACTATTATTCAACAGGTTTAAGAGAATTGATGAGTATACCAAAAAAGAAAATCAATCATGATCATCATTTATTAAAGTTTGCAGTTTGACCTAAAAAATCATCAATGATACATTATATTTGAAAATACAGGAAACAAGACTGAAATTTCACAATTTTAAAAAGTACACCCATATCCATAAATGAGTAACCAAAGTTTAACTAAATTTTTTTAAAAACTAATATTAAATTATCTAGTTTATACAAACTTCAAACCAGTTCACTCTCGTGTGACCTCCTACTGAGAATTTGCCTTTCGATCCCATATACACTGAATCAGAATATACATTTTAACAAGATCCCCAGATGGATTCTGATTCAGTATATCTGAGTGAGAAAGGCAAATTTCAAGAGCTAAACCAGAATGAATCTGTTGGAAGCCCTGGGTTGAAAACTAATTCCCTACTCTATCTTGATTGTTGTTGTTGTTGTTGTTGTTAGGTGCCGTTGAGTCGTAGACGACTCATAGCGAACCTATGAAGGAAAGGCCTGAGCACTGTTCATACACAGAGTTTTTGGAGGCAAGCCATTTCGGAAGTGGATGCCGCTCCTGCTTCCAGGCTTTCTATCTTGATTAGACATTATAAAATCGTATCATTTAAAAAAGACTTAATCACTCTTACAGGCACAAAAATATCAAGAGTATTTAAATTTTGGTTATTTCAATTACTTTTCAGTTTACCTAACAAGGAATTAAACTGTGCAGGTAACAGTAACTCTATTGAAAGGATATATGGTTTCAAATTATTTCATATGTAGAAGTATCATGCAATTTGAGTTTGCTTAGGTATTTTTTACATCATGGTTAAATAAGTATATAACAAAGTATCTGACATATCAATATTTTTAATATTAATGCAACCTATTGTATAAACATCACATCTAAGCTTTCCAATTATCTCATTTTCATTAATAGAAACTCAGTATATTCTAAGAAAAGATTCTCCTTTCCTCTCTCCTCTTCTGCTACTTTATTAGTAACCACTTTGACTCTAAAATATGTGCTAATTCTAGGTATTTCGTGTTAAGTTGGAAAGGCTTCTTTTTTGATACTCTAAAGCAACAGAGAAAAGCAAGAGGCTGATTGACAGTGAAATATTCTAATGAATATTACATATATTTATAATCCCAGTAACAACATTTACTTTTAATCTATTAAGGGTTAAAGATGGTTTACTTTCCTACCTGCTACCTTTGTACGAATTTGCATATTTTCTTGTAACGTTGCCAGTGGTTCCAAATATTCTGGAGCTTTTCCAGCTATGACTTCTTGTAGTTTTGCATCCACTTGACTTAATCGCTCTTTATAAAGCCTATAACAAAGCAAAAATTAATATATTAACTTTAACCTGTCAGATATACTTTTGCCTTGATTATTATAATTAGTATATAAGTTTATATGATGATTCTTCATAACTCTTTAGTTAACTGTTAATACAAAAAAATACTGATTTTTCAATGTATACAAATTTTCTAAGTAAACCAGTATAAAAGTTATATAAAAAAATAAAATCAGTAAAGGAAATAATTACATTATCTGCCAAAATAATGTTATTGTTATTGTTGTTGTTGTTATGTGCCGTCGAGTGGTTTGCGACTCATAGCGACCCTATATACAATAGCCCTAAACCCTGCTCTATCCTGCGCCAATCGCACTGCCTCTGACACACCCATCCCGATTACCTCAGTCACTGAATCAATCCATCTCACAGAGGGTTTTCCCCTCTTGCACCGTCCCTCCACCCTCTCAAGCATGATGTCCCTCTCCAAGGACCTGTCCCTCCTTGCAACATGCCCAAAGTATGTCAGACAATCCCCAGAATCCTTGCCTCCAAGGAGTAGCTTGGTTTAACCCCCTCTAGGAAGAATCTGTTTGTTTTCTTGGCAGTCCATGGTACATTCAATACTCTTCTCCAGCACCACAGCTCAAAGGCATCAATTCTCCTTCTGTCCTCCGTAGTCATTGTCCAACTCTCTGATGCATAACAAGTGATTGCAAAGACCATGGCCTGTATCAGGTGCACCTTAGTCTCCAGAGCGACACCGTTGCTCTTGAGTACTTTAGAGAGGTCATTAACAGCAGACTTTCCCATCACAATACGTTTTTTTATTTCCTGACTGCTGGTGCCAAGAGTGTTGACCGTGGAGCCGAGCAAACTGAAGCTGTGAACAATCTCAATCTCCTCATAGAGCCCTGCCTCCGGGATAATCTGCTCTGCATACAGGTTGAAAAGGTATGGAGACAGGACACATCCCTGGTGTACACCCTTCCCAATTAATACATTATCATATCTGGGTTAACTTTTTCTAAAACTTAGGATTAAATGATAAACATGTGAAGTTTAAAAAAGCACAACATAACACTATATTTTTTTAAATCAATCACAACTTTAAATGAAATGCAAAAAAATTTGACAAAGCATATGAATGCATTTAAAACAAAAATGAAATTTACACAAAATGTTGACAAGTTAATGACCTCTTGTGATGCAATATATTGATTCAAGAGGTTATACAAATTAGAAATAACCAAATAAGTAAATGTTTAAAAGAATTTTCCATTACCATTGAAGCAATCTAACTCACAGGTACCCTAGAGGGCCCAATAGTGTTGCTAAAATTATAACTGTTACAGCAATAGACAGCCACAACTTTCTCCTGCACAATGGCTGATGAGTTTGAAATACTGATCCTTCGGTAGCAGCTTACTGTGCAACCACCGTGCCACCTAGGATCCTCAAAATCACTGTAATTTTTAGAACCTTGGGATTTAATTACTAATTCCTCTAAAGCTAAGTTTAAGTTCACAGACTAGATGTTCAATTCATATTTGTTGAATGTTGAATGTTAAAATGCATGGAAATTTGTAAATGTCTCTTATCTTTTTTTTTTAATTTCTCTTATCTTTTTTAAAGAGGTGGAAGGATTCCCCTTCCACCACTATAAAAAACTGTAAATAGTGGATTTTCTATCTGAAGAAGAGCGTGCTACAGTACTCTTTTATGCTAGAATAAGAAAAGCAAGATAATTATATTATTATTCTATCTCCTGAGAATTTGAGACAGCTTGCAGAGAGAGAGACACCTTTTTTTATTTTATTTTATTATTTCTCTCTCTCTGTGTGTGTGTGTGTGTGTGTGTGTGTGTGTGTACAGTCAAATCAGATCTGACTGGTACAGGACGAGATTGCCTCTCCTCCAGCAGAGCATCAGCTAGATTTGAACCTTGTACCTCTAGGACTGCAGTGCAGCTTATCACTAGGCCACCAGAGCTCCCTGAGAGACACCTTTTAATAGGATAAAATAAAACGATCAGGGCAATATTGAAAAAATAAGAAAAATATAGACCTGGGACAAAGATCAAATCCTTGAAGAAAAAAATATTATCAAGTAGTAATTACAGGCCTATTTTTATTATTCTTATTATTAAAGATGATGAATGAAGCTAGTAAGGGGACTTCTGATGCTTATAGGAAGTCATGAGTAAGCAAAAATCTAGGCATATGCCAGCCCCAAGATACACCAGGTTAGGCATGACTGACCAGTTGGAAAGTTCTCTTATATATAAGAGATATATACAATAGATAAATGATGATTGATAGATAGATAGATATTATAATTGTTTGTTTACAAGAGCTTTACAATAACTATCATTTCTTGAACAACCATAAAATGCACTTTAATAGCCAAATAGTCAGGACAAACTTTTCCAGGAGCTCAACCTGTGATGTGCTAGAGGGAGTGAAATAGAGGTAGGAGCAGAGGCTGCTGATGTTTGAAAAGGTCCTTGGGAACAGAAAGGTTTGCAAGAGAGTTGGTGGCAAGAACAGGACTTCTATATGCCATCTCAGTCCAAGAAAATATGGGGTTCCAAAACATTCTGACCGGTTAGATCTTTGGATCTTCATTCTCTTTGACCAGGTTTTGTTCTACTTTCTTGATTTATGTCTTAATTGGTTTGCCTGGTTTTTAAGTTAAGAAGTAAGCTTCTAAAAATGACTATAAATTTCCTGAATAGGAGAAGATAGTGTTAAGCTTATGCAAGAGAAGAATTTCAAATCCTTAAGGGACCTTCTTTTCATTTTCTTTTATTCTATTAGGCTATTACTTGAAACTATTTTATGTGGGGAGGGATATCACCTACTTATAATTAAATTTTTATAACTGAGCCCTTTCATTCATATTTTAGAACTTATGAAGCTTTACAAGGTCTGAATATTCATATATAAGGGTTTCACATATTAATTAGTAAATATAGTCATGTCTTCCAATTAATATTCTAAAAGTTGGCTAAGGCTTAATACTATGCAAATAATGTGACACTATAAGGTCAAGTATATATAAATCCAAAAGTAAACTACACAAATGCAAGGACAAGAATACTAAAAACGAGAAAGAAAAAAAAACCCACCAAAAATACAACCCAAGTATTCTTAAGCTGCATTAAAATGCTCTAAATAACAAAGAAGTTTATAGAAAATGCAGGCACAAGATGTACTGGCTATAAGTGCCAGTTTAATTTTTAGATGAATCAGACTATGCTAGGTGGTCTAAAGTTAGTGGTAGTGGTAAAAGGCTACACTTCAATCCCAAAAGTATGCAGTTTGAATCTACCAAACTTCTCTGTGGGAGCAGGATGGGCACTCTCCTCCTGCGCACTTAAACTGCCTCAGGAAACCCACTGGAGGGCCAGCTATGGGTCAGTTCCAACTCAACCATACACAACATGAAAAGATATGTTAATGGTTAAATATAAATTAGAGAAAGATAATAGGCCAAATAGTCAAATCTTAATTAGTTGCATGACTCATAAATTGTAAAAATATAAACTTGCTTCCTCTTTTCCAGCATCAATCTGGATGATCTCCACAGGCTGTCCAAACAATGGATTCTTCAGGAATCCACAGCAGTCTTATTTATATTAGTGATGAAAATATTGAAAAAAAAAATTATCAAGTTTTCAAAGCCAGATTTTTATCAATATTGACTCATTATAGATCCTGGATTGCTTATGTCAATTTATTACACTACCATGAGACATCTATCATTAATCTCTTACATCAATGAAACCCATGACCAGATACGGTGTGACTAGAAAGATTCACACAATAAACATATCTGTCTCGCCTTTTTAACAAATGGTGTTGGCAAAATTGGAAAACTATCTGCAGAAGAATTAAACAAGGATCCCCTCCTCACTCCATATACAAAAACCAACTCAAGGTGGATCATAGACCTAGGACTAAAACCAAGGACTGTAAACTTCGTTCAAGAAAAGCTTGGAAAAACTTTAGTAGTCCTAATCCACAACATAAAGAGTCTTCCCAGTATTCTGAAAAATTTACAACCAGGAGAAGATAAAATAGATGAATGGGACCTTCTAAG